CTCGTGAAGAGGTAGCTAAATGTTTATGTTTGTCACAGATGTGATTTTCCGAAAATGGAGTCACTTGGAATGTTGTTGAATTTGTTATTTCCTTTTACATAACCTCAATGTAAAATTTACGTCAAACTATAATGATATTATTAGCAGCCTTATCAGCCGGGACAAACACAAATTCCTTGGCGAGTTCTTTTAGCTTATGTTTTATACGTGAAATAGGGCTATTATGGTTGTTGTTAGGAGTAAAATGTTCTTTAAAATGTTTTATAGGAATATCAACTATTTTCATTACTGAATTAAAAAAAGAATCTAAGGATTTCTTGTCAGCTTTTTCTCGTTTTATCCATTTCGAGCAGTAAGTACGGAGTGAGTCGTGGAGGATGTTACGACACTCATTCCAATTAATAATTGACAGGGGACGATATTTAGGTCCTTTGCTGAGTAATGATTGCAACTCTCGGTCATGCATGATGTTATGATCTCCTGTTATTACATGGGAACTGGGGCCATACATGTATTCGGAATTACTGCAATTTCATGAAGTAGGTGTATTGTCACTGATATTAACATCTTTACACACTTCGCTATAATTAAACACATATTTCCGGGTAGTTTTTTTGTAAACATAACAAATAAGAGGGAGTTCAGTTTTATCAAAATAGCCAGGAATTTGTTCTTTAACAGAATGATCATTAAAAATACCGGCAATATTTACAAAATCAAAACCTTTATTGACATATTTGATTTTAATAACATGTTTGTTGTGATCTTCAGGGCAATAAATTGTTGGAAACAGTTTAGAATAGCAATATGCAATTATAATTTGGCCAAATCCATACTTAGAACTGCAATTTAGAAATAAGTTGCAATCCTCTAAATTTTGATGTAATTTATTAACAGGTTAGATAACAGAGCTTGGTTAACAGATAATGTCTGCCGTTGTTTTTTTTTTAATAGTAATTAGGTCCGAAATATTTGTATTGTTGGTTCGAAATTTTCTTTGATTGCGATTTTTTTCTATGGTGGATAGTAGTCTTATTTCCAATCATACTATATCTCCTTATTTTTATCAAATTGATCAACTTTGTCTGAGGAAGTTTCGACCTTACGTAAAACAGTTAATATACTTATAATTTACAATAACATTGATAACATCTAAAAAACAAAGTGGTATTAACATGAACATATTAGGATGTTAAAAGTGCGCACGGCACATGTTTCTGAAATAACGTCAAGCAACTACGATTTCAATCAAATGTTTTGGAGGTAGCATTCTTTGACCACAGAAGACCATTAAAATCGAGATTATAGAACTTTACGGAAAGCCAAAATGCGGACGGATGAGCTTGCTTACCAACCATTTAAACACCAAAGATGTATAGATACTTGAGTACATATATTAACAAACGAGATGTAAAAATAATTGCTGAACTTTCAAAGGTCAACTTTACTGAAAGGAGAATGAACTTTAGTTCCTTTATAATTCTTTAATTTCTCAACGGTGTAATTTCCAAATGTATGTTTATACTAATATCAGGGACAAAAGACTGATTTGTGAACTATTTAAACCCTCGGGGTCGTAATGGTCTAGTCAAGGAAATTTCCAGCGAATACAATTCATACATAATTTAAGACATACAATTTGCTTTTTCTGGAACTTAAAATACTGCTGTCATCATGATATTTTGCATGCAAAAAGCATAAACCAATCGAAAAGTATAATTAACCAGTGAAAGTAGTCTTTCAACAGGTAATATGGCGTTTAAATTATCAGTACCGAGGCATTGGGTGAATGATAATCTAGCAGACTGATAATACACTAGAAGGGACACAAGTCTAGTTGATTTAATATACTAATAATCGTATGATGCTTTTGTCAATTAGAAAGACAGAATTCTGCAATGACAGTCAGTAAAATCGATTTATATCGAATGCGTAAGAAAAACGTTGTGCATAAAAAGTATTTATTGTAATACAAATGTCCAGTGCAATATAAATACTATCACTTTTTACATATGATACCCATTTCTTATTATCATTCGCAATTATTCGCCATAATGGTACTCTAACTGTTAATGAAATAGTGTGTGCAATACATTATTTCCAATATATCGACTAGTATTTCTGGAGTTTACCATACTGTTATCGTCATGATATTTGAACACAATTACATACACGTATAGAAAAGTTATAATTAACCAGTTAATACAGTAGAACAACAGAGGTGTTAAGATACTGTAACACACGGTTATGTAACTGAAAACTATGTATAGAAAAAATAAAGTAAAAGTATTCAAATACGCGCTATTTAGTGACATGTAGACTTTTGTTATCTTTCACTTGTTTTGTTATAGGCTTTTTTGGTACTGATTTATATCTTGAAAACGATTCTATAATAGCCAGACTATAAGTATTTTATATGTTTTCCTAGATATATGATTATGAAATATCTAATGTGAATTCGGCGTAATCATTATTTAACTGTATATTTAATAATGCGTCCGTAAAATTTACGAATGATTGATTTCAGCTTCATCATTTGGAACTCTTGATTTAATAGCTTCCTTGTGAGCAGCAACCCTCTATCAAGGAAGTCATGATAGAAAATACAAGCCCGGGAATATTGTATAAATTGGGAGATATATATTCCGTATGCAGGAGCTGCTGGAATGTTGCTACATAGAAATGGAAATTTCACAATTGGGAAGCTGAAATCATCTCTTTTGTCGTAAAGTTTTATTTTCAATCGACCCTCATTGTCAATTTCTAGATGTAAGTCACGATATGAGGCAGACTTAACTGTATCTGTTGTATCCTTTATTTATAGATCGATGGGATAGATGCGTTCAACATAGTCAACAAATTTTTAATTATTTAATGAGAGAACATCATCTATATAGCGGAAAATAAAGTTAAAGGATACTGCTAACTTCTTTCCTTTCTTCTTAAGAAGTTCCTGAATGGAGTCAGCCTCATAAGAATGAAGGAACAAGTCGGCAAGAAGAGGGGCACAGTTGGTTCCCATGGAAATGCCGATATGTTGTTGAAAAACACGTCCTTCAAACGTTACAAATATGTTGTCAATCAAGAAATCAAGCATCTTGATAATGTCAATTTCAGAGAGTTCTTTGTATGAATCAGAGTGATTTTTTTCAAAGTAGGATTTATCCCTCCCTAAGACAAGATATTTGTATCTACGTTTGACATTCTTTTTATTTATGACACAAAGCAAAACCAACTCTTTCAATTTGTCTTTTAGTTTGGAATGGGGAATACTTGTGTACAGTGTAGAAAAGTCATATGTTTTAATATAAAAAAATGAAAGAGTCTTATATTGTATGTACTCTAAAAGATCTTTGGAATTTTAAGTATCCATATCTGATTCACGCCACCTCTAGAATAGGCAGTTTCACAATAATTTTGAAGCCCGGCTTTGATTGGTGAAAAAAATTGATGTTAATAATTTAGAAAAAGGTTTCGTGGAGCACTTGGAAGACCCAACAATATACCGTTGTTTTTTAGGGACACTTATTTAGTTTAGGAATCCAATACAGAGATTGTAGATCCAGTTCTTCATCTTTGGTGGAATTCTAAAGGAACATAGAAAAGACCTATGATTATCCAGGATTTCCTCTTTAGTAAGTGTCGTGGGGGTATATGTTGAGTTACAAGTCAATTGGCAATACCTAATTCATTTATCAAGCAGTTAATGTAATGTGATTTACACACAAAAACGATGTTGTTTGGGGCTTTATCTGCAGGGACAACAACATATTTGTCATGGAGGTAGGACAAGTGTTTTGCAACATTTGGGTCTTTAAAGATTGACGTAGCATGGGTATTGATAGACCCATTCAGTTTCTTAATTTTGATTTGTATCGACGACCTCACAGCCTTAATTCATTCGGAAAGAGTATCTACATCTTCTTTCTCGCGTTTAACCCATTGCCTGGCATAATCCTCGACTGAATCCATCAGTATTTTGAAGTTGTGTTTCCAATAGACTAAAGCAAAAGTACACTCATTTCACAATTCCTACTATTGCTTTATTGAATGTATCATTGAAAAACGTTCCTAAATTGACAAAAGCTGAAAGGATGGATCCAAATAATTCGTTGTTTAACCTTTTATATTTTCCTTAAAAAATTCTGCAAATTTATAGACTTTTAATGAATGAAAATACAACTTTATTAGGAGGAACATATTTCTAAGAACTACCTATTATGCAACTGGTTTACATTTATTTGTGGCTCAATGCGAAAGGCAGAAGATGTATATCTGTGATTTCACGATTATAGAACATGTAGAATAAAATACTTATTTGAACCGTTTTATTAATGTTTTCTATATGTAAAATGTAAATCCGCTCCGAATGAATAGCTTGTATATTTATCAAATCAATGTTGATCTTTGCCACGATAAAAATACATATACCATTTTAAATATATGCACATTTTTCATGGCCAATAAATCCTAGGTATAATTGATTGATGTATAAAAATACGTTCACCTTACCTCTATGGTAAGCGAGGTTGGAAAGAGGTATTGTCTTACATTGGTATCTGCATCTACTACACATGGTAATATTTGTTTTTCAAATAAGACCTAAGAAAATAGTGGAATTAATCATTTTTGGAGCGTCAATAATTCGTTGGAAGTACTTGATAAAAGGCATGCACATATTTTTGCTTTCTAATCTGTTCAAAGTTTTACTTGTTCTACCCTATATACTGCTTTGCCTCATTATCTCATTTACATACAAATCACATACCTAATTAAATGGGCATTTAAAAAGTCAGAATGCAAATATAATGTTCAATCTATTTTGGGTAAATTTTTAGTAACGACAAATAAAAGGACTGTGTCAATTTAATCTACTTTGATATAATAACTGCACTTGAAATTTACTAGATACCATTTTTATTCAATTTTGAAATTCCGTATATTGCAAAGTTATCGGAATTCCATTTGGGACTAAACTGTGCACCACTTAATGCAGACCTGTTTCTGTATTATTAGGAATAACAATTTATGACTCAAATCAGCAATGACCCATCAAAACATCTAAAATGAAAATTTGATAATCGACGATTTCAGTATACGTATGTACACAAAAGCGATTTATCGTGTTGAACTAAAAAAATTACGAAAAAGTCGTTATTCACCTCAAAAGCTAACAAAACCTTTAAACATACATATTCAGAAGGAATGTAGTACAATACTGTTGTCAAGTCTTTGCATCGGAAATATACACATTTATTCTTTAACAAGTTGATGGCATATTACGGGTTATGTTCTTTTCGTTTAATTTATGATGGCATGATATCTAACCCCGAACGGGAGAGACTGTGCTTGATTTTCATATTCTAAAACCAGTTGTTGGCAGGATACGGGTTATATTCTTCTCATATAGTTTATGATGGTATGATACTTAACCCCGAACGGGAGGGATTGTGCTTGATTTTCATATGATGAAGACATAATCTTTTACCCGAATATATGTTGGAATACTACATTTGTAAGTCAATCTAATTTTTTTTTTCGGCATTCAATGGTTGTTTCTATGTATATTTCAAATGTTACGAAACTATCCGTCCGTTTTCATGGTTTTTGTTTCTTGAAATATCATGTTTAATAAATCCACCTTTGATTACATTTCAGTGATAAAAATCTATATTTCATAAATATTAAAAATACTAGTATGCAATTTACATCAGGGTTTATATTTGATGGTTTATATATGAGGACAACTAGAATTTACGAATACCCGAAGGGGTGACAAAAAGATCCCCTACTTCTCCTTACTACATGTACCATGCTTTTCATGTTATCGAATAATATATTTTTTTATTATTTCAATCAAGATAATTTAAAAATGTCAAATTTGTTAAATCTTATCAGCCGCTTTGATATTAAATATTGAATATCAAATATCAAATAAAGAACCGGTCGCTTACTTCAAATACATCTTTAATGTAAAGTTTCGAATGCTTAAACATTATATAACAGTCAGTCGAAATAACTTATCAATTATTAATATTGTATGTCAACACACAAGTGCTGACTATTTTGGATCTGATTCTCTCAGAAACGAAATGTCCAACAATAGTGGCATCGGCTATGTGGTTATAAAACTCATCACATATATCAGGCGAAAAACTTGGTACGCTAAACCTGCGTTTATTCTGCATCAAGATATAAAAGTAGAAATCAATAAGCAGTCAGAATTCCAAACTGTTAATTACCTGTTATATATATATATATTTTTAATTGAATTAGTCAAGCTTACCACTAACGGATTTGTACTATAATAAATAACTTTTTTATATAAATTAACCGATTGATAGTTATTTTTTTTTAATGTCCATAAGTTTAAAATCACCACATCACGCTGATATGTTGAAATAAAAGCACAACAATCAATATTAAAACGGAAATATGTTAGATATAAGATGCAAAATAAACAACAACATTTGTTTACCTTATTTCAGATTTCACAAATTTAGAGTATTGCTTTCAACTATTATTCATTTTAAAAAGACGTCTTTGTCGTATCTTTAATACATGTAAGCGATAAGATCAGAAACACCCACACGCGAGTTAAAATTTCCGTTATCTAATTTCACAATAACTGGTATTGGTTAACAAAACAACTCTACAATATCAGGTAAAACGACACGAAGGGTTTTTAATTCATAGGAAGCATTTTCTCCTTCAAAGATACATATGAAATAATCCTGTGTTCATAATTCTGGATAATACCTATAGAAACCCGACAAATGAAGTATTATGATAATGTAATATCAACATATATAAGGTGTAACATATTATGTTAGTCAAGAAAGCACGCTTCTAAAAAACATATATTTATTAATAGTTGAAAATGAAGGTTTACACCAAATTGTGAAACACATTGTCTTTATATTTATGGAATACATATGGAACACATTTTCTCAAGAGCCACTGCATTTATGGATTGTTTTGGATTGTAAAGGGATAATTCTACAATTGGCCCATACACTCATGGAAATGCTACAGTAAGTGGTAATCATTTCATTATTTGTTTGTCATGGTGATTTAAAACCTAATACATTTGTGTATGTGTCTGTTTTAATACACGTACAATAACATGAATGTACTTTTAAAACGCTTTAATTTTTTAAAAGCATATGCAATTCATCAACATCATGTACACACTTCAGCTTCACGTATATGCTAAAATTATTAAGGCAGATACTCTGAGACTTTTAATGTGCTGAATGACGTAGTTAACATTCGTTTATTTAACAAACAAAAAAAATGAAAATATAAAAAAGTAAAATAACAAAAATACCGAACCCCAAGGAAAATGCTAAACGGAAAGTCCATAAGCAAACGGCAAAATCAAAAGCTCAATCACATCAAACGAATGTATAACAACTGTCATATTCCTGACTTGGTACAAGCATTTTCTTATGTAGAAAATGGGGATTAAATCTGGTTGTATAGCTAGCTAAACTACTCACTTGTATGACAGTCACATAAAATTCCATCACTAAACTCACATGCACTATCGTATGTCTATGTTTACTAAACCACGAAAATACGTTTCGTTCATATTGGACATTGATACATGAAGTGAAATAAATATCCACACATGGCAATATTTAAAAGAAAAACAAAACTTGTTCATCTTGTAACTTTGCTTATGAAATGCAAGTCATTACAAGATATTCCTTCCCACTTTTATTGATGGGTCTTTAAGTGCACTTGGTTTTCTAATATTTGTTATTGTAGGCGATGTTTTAAGTCTTCAGTAACATATACACATACTATTCTATTATTAAAATGTGGTACTTTGTTCGTTTGGCTACATGTATCTCACTAGGAATTTACTCTGACAATTTCATTCTGAAAGATTAAAACACTTTAACTGCACATACAAATAAGAAGATGTGGTATGATTGCAAATAAAATCAGACTAAACATTACGTAGAACATATAAAGGTCCGCAACAATGTGATGTTTTGTTTTTAACTACAAATGTATATTTATTTGAACATGAACTAACTTTAAAAGAGAAATGTTTGTAGACTAATTGAGATTAAACTGATATACAATTATCTTTCATTGTTGATCGACCGGCAAAAAATAGTGGCATTTGTATCTACATGTTGTAAGTACAATGACAATCCCAATTTCATACAAAATTCATCTTGTTGTCTTAACGAACTTGAATATCTTACACGATGAATAGGTCTTTTACAATGATATGAATGGAAAACCAGAAATGACGTATAAAAGAACTTCAAAGTAGACATGAATTTAAGTCAGTTTTATCTGATCGCATTAAACATCTAAGGACTGGAGCAACTCTTTTATTCCGAATGGCCTATTTATTATAATATATGATCACTTGCAGTATATGCCAAAATGCTTATAAACTTAAATTGATCAGATGTTTCTTCTCTTGTCATAATTTTGAAATTTTCAAGGAACAGATATTGATCGATATCATGCATATATATACATATATGATTACTTAAGTTGATTATTTAAGACGAGGTTTCTTGCAGAAGCTTCCATTTTAATGGCATTTACTAGAAATCACTGTTAAATGCAGGTGTAATTACTTCCACTTTTATAACAATTACAGGTGTTATCATTCATTGGGGCATTGTCTGTGACTACCTACCAAAGTTATTCTAACAAAAGAAAACAAGAGGAATAGTTGGTTAACCTGACACAAGAATTGTTGGCTGAATTGAAAAGAAAGCAAAAGGACACATTGACTGAGTTGTCAAGCAGCGAGGAGAAACTGATAACTGAACAAGCGGAAAGGATAGAAAAAGAAAAGGCGACGTTGTCTGAGTTAATAGAAAAAGGAAAGAATACGTTAACTGAATTGATAGGACAATGAAAGAAAACCTTATCTGAACAATCTGAAACGGTAGCAAAGGAGAAGGCGGTGTTAGTGCAATTCATCAAACAAGATAGGAAAAAACTATATGAGCAAGCTGCAGAGATAGAAAAAGAGACGAACCCATCAACCGAAGGGAATAGAACGATAATGAGATGTTATTTGACCAATCTGCAAAGATGAAACAAGAGAAGGAAACCTTCAATGAAATTAAAGTAAAAGAGAAGAACGTGTTTACTGACTTGATAGGAAAAGAGAAGGAAAAGCTGACTGAATTGATTAGAGAAGGGAAGAAGACTTTAATTGAACAAGCTGAAATAATAGAAAAAGAGAAGGTAACATTGGGACAATTCACCGGAAAATCGGAACAAACGTTGAATGAACAGGCTGCATGGATAGAGAAAATGAAGGAAACATTTACAGAATCGATAAGAAAAGAGAAGGAAACTTAATTTGACCAATCTGCAAATACGAAAAAAGAGTTATATACGTTAACTGAACAGGCTGCTTGGATTAAATTAGAAAATGAAACTTTAACTGCACTAATAGAGAAAGAGAAGGACATGTTAATTACACAAGCTGAAAGGATAGAAAAAGTGAAGGATGATTGGGTTAAATCAGTTAAACAAGCGAAGGAAACATTGTCTGAAAACGCTGCTAAGATGGGGAAAAAAGACAGAAACCTTAATCGATCAAACTATAAAGATAGAACGAGTGAAGGATAGTTGGGTCGAATTGGTACAAAAAAAGGAAAACAAGTTCATTGAACAAACTGTACAGATAGAAAAAGAGATGGAAACGTTACTTGCAAAATCTAAAAGATGAGAAAAGTAATGACGGAAAGCTGTGCATAAATTGGTAGGAAAAGAGAAGAGAAAATATACCGAACAAACTGCACACATTTCAACTAATATCATTCCTATTTTGGTTTAGAGCGTTCGTCTTGCTCCTTCTTTAATATAAAGGGGTATCATTTTCATTTGCAATGTCTGTTTTCACAGATGATAGTTTTGTAAATCCTTTGTACTGAAAATTTTCACTCGGTCAAGTTCTAGAGTTAGAAAATTTACGTGACAGATAGTTTATGAATTATCTTATGCCTTATGGGTAGACTAGAGTGAATTGCAAATTTTCTGAAGTGTTCTGCCAACTTATTTGATATAAACATACAGTTGAACCTTGATAAATCTAAGTCGAAAGAATCCGACAATACTATCGACCTATCCGAGATGGCGAGCTACATCATGTTTACCCTCATTCCAATGTTGAAATAGTGATTTGTCAACCTGGAACGTTAATGTTGAAGATATATTTTTTTTTCCATTTTATGCAAATTGATAGCACTTATAATAACAAGAATCTTAATTTCATAAAATCTAAGCAATTAACAACAGTACACATCGAATTTTCACAAGATCAGGAAGTAGCAAAGAAGGGGAAATTATCGAAACGGAATTATAATCTTCGCAGATGAAAGTATTACACTACCTCCTTCATACTTATGTGCTACTGTCTGTTAACTTCGAGTCTATTTCTATTAATAATTTATTTGAATAAAAGATAGTGTGCAGTCTCTTTAACCTTTTTTCTGACTCCGAAGTTTAATGTATTTACAATTTGTTTGAACCCTTGTCTATTGTTCTTTGTAACAAATACATAAACATCCAATATAAATATATTATGTTTTGAGATCTTTTCCTATAGGACGTTTGTTTAACTGTGTGAAATAACATGAATACTCTGTCGTGCACGGTCTTCATTGGAAGGGTAAATCTAGAGCATGAATTTTGGAATTGATCATGTTGATATGGACACTGCATGTTAAAGAAACCCATCAAATTTCATTCCAGTCCTCTTTATATACAGACTCATCAAAGATACCAGGCTTCATAATTCACATTTTATAAACCGTAAATTAAGAAAAAAAATAAAATCGGGTGATTGTCTTTTCGTTGTTTTTTCGGTGGCGACCGATGTTCTATTGTTTTCTCTTCGATTCTTGTTATGTATGGTTATCCATTATGAAAAACGTAATTGCATTCCCAATTCTTAATTAAGAGCACGATTTTAGATATTTTGTTTATTTGTTCCCGTCTTGAACATGTTGAAGAAGATAGACATTAAAGATCTAATCATAGAATTATGCATATAACTTTTTACAAACCATTGTTTTTACAAGGTCAGCCATTTTCTTCAGACATGACTTCAACAACGGTTATTTAACGTGGGGTGAACCATATTTAGGAGCTCTTCTGTACATTATCAGAAAATACATTTTATAGAAAAACAGATGAGCGAGATTGACTGCTTTAGATCTACTAGATTTTTTTTACATGGCTTCAAGGAAAACACCGAAAATATTGTTGAATCTACGAATGCTTAAACCTAAACAGTTATCAGAAGGATTCTCTCATATTATATCTTGAAAGGAAAATAGTTTTAAAGTGCTACGGCTACCTTCACGAATTGGTTGACGTTGTTTGATGTGAGATGACTATGTTTTTGTTTATAGTTTTATCATATATCAGGCCATCTTTTTCGTTTAAATTTTCTTACATTATGCTATAATAGGGCATTTTATGTGTTAAAGCTTACTTTACGATATGTGTTTGCTTATTGTTGAGAACATTACAGTAACCTATATTAAATGTCAATATTCTATTTTTATTTATGGTGGCTAGTAGTCTTATTTATTTGTATGAGAGTGTTTCGACCTTACGTTAAACAGTATATATATTTATAATTTACAAAAAACATTGATAACGTCTAAAAAACAGAGAGGTATTTAAAAAATAGTAACAACACGTTATATAAATTTCATGATTTCGATGCGCTTTTCTGGATTTACCTTCATCGGAAACGTTCAAAGACAAATATTTGTAAGCCAATGATTTATAAGAACCGAAACAAGTAAAGAGTAAATATGAACATATTGGGATGCTAAAAGTGCGCAAGGCACATGATTCTGTAATAACGTCATGCAACTACGATCTTATTCGAATGATTTGCAAGCAGCATTCTTTGACCACAGAAGATTATTAAATCGAGACCATAGAACTTCACGATAAGCCAAAATGTAGAAGGAGTAGCTTACCGACCTGATCTACCCGTTCGAGTTAGTATAAACTGACCAAACAAATAATAATCTTCATTTTCGACCGACGAACTTTTCTGGACGTACATGTAACAGGTACACTCATGACCAAGCATTTAAACACCCACGATGAGAATAGATACTTGAGTTCATATATTAACAAACGGGACGTATATATAATTGACGAACCCTCAAAGGTCAACTTTAATGAAAGGAGAATAAACCTTTGTTCCTTAATAATTCTTTAATTTCTCATCGGAGACATCTCAAAAGGTATGGAGTAACTTATCAGGGACAAAGGACCAACTTTTGGACTATTTATACCCTCAAGGGTCGTATTGGTCTAGTCAACGATATTTCCAGCGAGGACAATTTATAATTTCAGACATACAATTCGCTTGTTCTGGAACTTAAGATACTGCTGTCGTCATGATATTGTGCATGCAAAACGCATATACAAATCTAATAGTATAATTAACCAGTGACGGTAGTCTTTCAACAGGTAATATAGCGTATAAATTATCAGAACCGAGTCATAGAGTGAATGATAATCTAGCAGACCTATAAAACACTAGAAGAAAAACAAGTCTAGTTGATGTAATATACTTATAATCGTAAAGTGCTTTTGGCAATAAGAAAGACACATTTCTGCTATGAAATTTAAATCGTCATTGACGCGCAGTTTAACTTTCGAAACTAATAATGGGAAGTTGTGTTTGTTAATTATCGCTACGTAACAAGAACGGGACATTTTCATATAAGTGAGATTAATTTAAAAACGGAAAACTGTTCATAACACTTTTAAAACAAGATAGATTTAACACATGCATGAGTAGGTTTTTGAAAATCTTATCGATTGGAAATCATAAATTGATCTACGTGTATCGCTATTCGTTTTGTGTTACATGTAAATTTGCAGATGTATCACGATTTCGTGCTCTCTTTGTGTAAGTAATTAACTTTTTACAACCATACATACTCTTTACTCTATTAAAGGATCAACTGCAGTGGCGGATCCAGAAATTTTCATAAATGTGGCCTACTGACTGCCATAGAGGGGGCCCGCTCCCGTCATGCTTCAGTGATTCCCTAAATGATCAACCAATTTTTGCCCACAAAAGGGGGGGGGTAGGCCTCCTGCCCCGAGGCCTGCCCCCTCCCTAAATCCGCCTCTGAACTAACAAATGTTCTTATATTCTATAGAATAACAGCCACGTACCTCACAATTGGGTAGGGGAAGTATAGAATTAAATCCGATTCGATGTTTGAAAACAAATGTATTGCCATTCATATGAAAATTTTTCCAAATAGTTCATTCGTTTAAACTTATTGAAAAAATAGTCTCCCTTTCACGGATAAAAATGTCATTACAAATAGAAAAAAAAATAATAAAGCACCCCCTTTCATAAACTAAGTTGGTACTATAAATTACTTACAAAGTGACTTATATTTTTCGTAAATCATTATTGGGTGCTAACAATTTATTAACTGCAGTAACAGTAATATTTATCTGTGTCTGGATAATGATTTATAACGTTTATATATATCAAGATTAACCAGCGAGTTGTATTTCACATTATAAATGAGCCGTAGGGCGTATTACAAACTGAACGATCCCATTTTCGGTAAAATAGGATGCAAATTTTTGCATATCTTAGCAGAAAATGTTATGTTTGACGGTATATAAGTCAGAAAAATGCATATTTGAAGGTTTGTCTTTTCGTAGAACACACCTCGGGGTGTCAAGTTTGCTCAAAAGAAAGACCTCCCTACGGTCGGTCTTTTATTTGAGCGATCCTGACACCCCTCGGTGTGTTCAGCGACGAGAAAAACCTTCAAATATGCATTATCCATAACTTACAAAGTATTCATCATTATGATATCCTCAATGTTAATTAAATAGTACGTGCAATACATTATTTCAAATATACTGACTAGTATTTCTGGAGTTTACCATACTGTTATCGTAATCATATTTGAACACAATTACATACACGTATAAAAAAGGTATAACTTAATCTATTAGTAGAACAACAGAAGTGTTAAGATACTGTAACACACGGTTATATAACTGAAGAATATGAAGGTAAAAAATAAAGTAAAAGTTTGCAAATACGCGATATTTAGTGTCATATAGACTTTGTTATCTTTTACTTGTTTTGTTATAGTCTTTTGGTCATGATATATATCTTGAAAACGATTCTTTAAAAGCCATCCAATTAGTCTTGTTTATGATTGTCGACGGATATAATAAAGATCTATCACATGTGCTGTTGGCGTAATGATTATTCGACTGTATATTTAAATGCGTACAATACAACATTTGCACCAAATAACTGTCGATGCAGTGATATTTTTTTAACTTCTCAAATCGGTTAATTAAATCCCCAAGGTAAATATTATGAAATCAGAACTGCATAGCATAATACAATTTCAAGGTTCAGTTATAGCAATTAGTTCAAACTATCTATTTATAATCATTTGATCACTAATTTTACCAAATTAAATACCTGAAGGTGTGAATAGTTTAACCGATTCTCAGTAAATTTTGATAGGCTAATGCAAAAGTATATTCATTTCGCAATTCCTACTATTGCTTTATTGAACGAATCGTTGAAAAACTTCCAGGTATTGGCATCAGTTGAATTAAAAGATCCAATTATTTCGTTATATCTTTTCCTTTAACTCTGTATATTTAAAGACTTTAAATGAATGAAAATTCAAGTATATAAGGAGGAGCATGTTTCTGAAAACTACTTATTATGCAACTGGTTTACATGTATTTGTAGTTTACAACGTTAGGCAGAATAGATATCTATGTGATTTTCACGTTAAGAGAACAATTTTTAGACCCAATGAATACATGTTTTGTATTTGTGGACACATAATGAGCGGTACATTATATAGTCAATTCACACACTAATAGACGACTTTTCTATACTTTATAGCTTTGCTTCCCAGACTGATAAACAAATGATAATACGATTTGAATGTATAGTACCTTTTATACTTTTTATATCTATGTTAATCTGGGCCATGATACAAATACATATAACATTTTAAAATTAGGCACTTTTTGCAAGGTCTATAAGCTAATGTGAATGTTAATATACGCAGTAGTCTAATGCAATTGTTGTTGGTTGTGTTACCTAGAAGAATTGAAATGATTTATGACATTCTTTAATTCATCTTTGATTTTGCTATGAAATATTAATAAAAGATTTATAATTTCTTTTCCCAAATAGCAGTCTTAGCTTTCTGAACTTCATATGGCAGTATCGTTTACTTTAATAAAACTTTTCAGGAAGTGCCATACATCATTTGAGACATCACGATTGATTTTTTTCTTGGCCGTTCCTTACTGCAGACGTCAAATGATAATACGATTTGAATGTATAGTACCTTTTATACTTGTTATATCTATGTTAATCTGGGCCATGATACAAATACATATAACATTTTAAAATTAGGCACTTTTTGCAAGGTCTATAAGCTAATGTGAATGTTAATATACGCAGTAGTCTAATGCAATTGTTGTTGGTTGTGTTCCCTAGAAGAATTGAAATGATTTATGACATTCTTTAATTCATCTTTGATTTTGCTATGAAATATTAATAAAAGATTTATAATTTCTTTTCCCAAATAGCAGTCTTAGCTTTCTGAACTTCATATGGCAGTATCGTTTACTTTAATAAAACTTTTCAGGAAGTGCCATACATCATTTGAGACATCACGATTGATTTTTTTCTTGGCCGTTCCTTACTGCAGACGTCAAGTTATTTTCACACACATAACATATACTTTGCAAATTATAGTCAACCTGTGAATACAGTCTTATAGATGTGCGAGGATACTGTCATTCAAAGTCCTATCACTTAAAATTTTGTTTAAAACAAACACAAATAGTATATGTATCAGGGTATTCTAACAGTATTATCATTGGTGTTCCTTACATAGATTGGTTCTTTTCTGGCCTTTGATGTAGTCCACGATTCATAGATTGCTGTTTTCATTCCTGTGTGTTTGTTTTGCTTTTGATATCAGTTTTGAGCACGGTTGGTGTCATATGTTTTATCTAGCGATATATATTTTATACGTAGGAATGGCGAATGTATTAGTTTTTTTTAAATAAATGCATTCAATTTTATATTTTCAACAAAAAATAACGACGAAGTCGTATATTTGAAACAAAAACAAAAAAGTTTGTTCAATGTTCAGTAGAAATTATGAACCGCTTAACATAAACCAATTTAAAAATCAATTCAGAAGTTTTAAACAAACTATTTATCAAAACACTTATGTTACCGAATTAAACGCATGACGGTGTTCTTACACGAATTCCCAATATATGTGAACAGATAACCCTAAAGTTACTTGTGCGATCATTTCGCGATGTCTACTATTGATTCATTAAACAAATCCTTTGAAAACTTCCAGGAATTCTAAAGTGGATTTTTTATAATTCAAGGAATAACTAATATATTCATATGTCAACGGGAAGATTGTTTTTTTATATTTTTTTCCTCTTGCATGTCTTGAAATCCTGCATATTTATAGAATATAAATGAATGAAAAGTATATGTAATCTATTCACAAATATTAGGTGAAACACGTTACTCAGAACTATGTAGTTTGTTAATGGGTCACTTCACAAGTTTGAAGATATATTTCTTTATATGTCTCTATAGAACAAAACGCTTTTCTTAGGACCATTTGTCATTTAATACTTATAAATAGGGTCGAAATTACTTAAGTCAACTTAAAGATTCATGGACGACTATTCAATTAAGGTGAGAAATTATATAATTGTGTAATAGGAATATTAAAAAATATATAATTTACTTATATGTATATGTATCTTTCATAGTGTTATGGTAATCGCTGGTTTCACTCCTAAATAGAAAACAAAATACAATTTCTATAATTATATGTACAATCTACTGTACACTACAAAATGGGTAAGTGTCAATACATATTAACACATAACATACAAAGTTACCGAGTGGGATAAATTAGTACAAATACACATGAAATATAAATAAATAAATGAAATACATGTTTTGATTAGCAATGTCATATCACTACACTATCTGATATGTAGAGTTCTTTATTACAACCGAAAAAAATAAATGCAATGCTTCACTTGAAAACAAAAAAATCGGTATCCAGCTATTCTATTCAGTGAAAATTCGGAAACAGATATACAACTTTTGCATCTGATCTTACAGTTCGTACAATCAAATCGTAGGTATACTCTACTGCTAAATGTTGGGTGATTTCAGAAAGGTTTTCATTAATTGATGAGCAGGTTTTGTCAGCGCCTTTACAGAGCAAAGCTATCCATATTTAAGCCATACAAAATTATCTCAATAACCACATACGAGGTGTTGTTGCCTGAAATCTGTTGTTTATAGAGGGTAGAGTGAGAAAGGATTATTTACATCATAAGTTTGTTATGTCATATTCATTTACATATGTATTCCTTTGCATGACAAGGAATACAAAAAAAAAAGATTGCACCCAATTCTAACAATGTTGTTAGGTCGAAAGCTAAATTTTAAAATCTTTAGAATCAGAAATCCTACCACTGAAAACAACTATTTTTGGTTTTCTGTTGAGGCCATATAACTGTTTAGGACTCTGATATTATTTTGCATCGTATACAGGGTATACAACACTTTCTGCACGTAAAAGGTTCTTGCCATGCAATAAGTCTATGTACAACCTTAAGATTATATGACATGTTGCAAAGGCACATATATTACCTATCTTACATATCATGTTTGTTGTCCAGAAGCAGTCTTAAATTATCGCATTTTTTCCAAGTTGTTCCACCTTGAAAAATCTGCCTATTTTTATAATTGTTACAAGTTTCATTCTCAATCTGTATGAAGTATTGGCCATTAAACGATAAGCAGCAGCCACTAAATATCAAACAGATCAATTCATTTTACTACATTTGTAATTCCGTATTTTACTTTTTACATGATCCCTCATCTTTGTATAAGAATGATACAAATTCTTCTTCTTTGTTTCAGGTATTATCATGAATCGGGATATCGTTGGTGATTGCATACCGAAATCTTTTTATCAAATCAACTACAAGAATAAGAGACGTAGAAGAAGAGTTAACTAATGATAGTAGTGAACGGAATGACGCTTTATCTGAGTTGATTAGAAGAAACATTGAAATGTTAACTAAATTGGTAAAAAAAGACACAGATAAGTTAATGACGTGGATTTTAGGAGAAGACCAAACAAAACACAAATGGAAGAAAGGAGATACAAATTCGTTTCCTGGATCTATAAAGTTTCAAATGTTATCAATGAACACAAACTCATTGTTGTTAACGTACCGAATTATAGTTTTACAAAACACAACGGCCGATAAAGAAACTTTAATAAAACGGGTTGGAGAAAACGAAAAAAATGTTTACTGTAAGTAGCGAGGAAAACAAAAAAAAAACATTATCTGAATGGATAAGTGAAAATCAGCAAACGATAAATGTATCAATCACAAAAGACACAACGACGTTTACCGACATGATAAAAGGGCTCAACGACAAGTTAGAAAAAAAGACTAAAAGACATCAAAACTTTAACTGAAATGAAAGGGCTGTCATCTAGTAACACGTACAGACATTATAATATTGTATTATCGAAAACAAGCAATAAGGAAACGATGACTGATATGATAAGACACGACAAGGGAGCAAGGTATTTGTTTTATTCCCGGCATTATTAAACCAAATCATGTATATGTAAGACTCAGATCGACGTCCGTTCCTCAAATCAACGTCCATATATGACGTCATAATGAATTAAGGTTTTGATTTAACGGTCAATTTAATTTTCCTCTAATCGACATCTTTTTCGTTGTTCTCAAATCGACGTCCAATTTTTGGCTTTTCTAATCGACGTCCGTTTTACGACAATGACATCACAATTTCATTTTATGAAAACAACTGTCATATTTCTTATTTGAAATAGGCATTTTCTGAAATTGAATGGTTGGTTGAACCTAAAACTAAAAAGTTGTTAAAGGTATAAGATTTTAAATCTCATAGATTCTAAATAATAATACTTTAAACAATTGACTGTACTTTTTTATTTTGTCTATTGTTTGAGACTGTGTAATGCTTCCCAGGTGTCTTTCGATTATCTTTGTCGTTGGGTTGTTTTCCCATTGTCGAGTATCCTCCTGCCATTCATTTATATGAATATGATAGGAATAAGACAACGTAGATCGAGTTGATTAAATTCTTGAAACAAACTATTATAATGCATGTACATGTAATATGATGTCTGTGTTTTTCGTGTTGTCATTTTTTGATGGGTGTCCTTTTATTTGTATTTAGTTGATTATTTGGGACGGGATGTTGACTACTTTATTGACCGCTGATAAAAGATTCCGATCAAGCGGATCTCGTTTTGGTAATACATTGCGAAACATCAGACGTCAATAACGGGATGAAATATGATTCACTGATTTGAGAATTTTACTTTACATTGGACGTCGATTTGAGGAACAGACGTCGATTTGAGGAACGGATGTCGAGTAGAGACCGGACGTCGATCTGAGTTTAACTTATATATGTCTATTTAATGTTGCTTATATTTTCAGGACATTTTCTTATTTAGTTTCATTTGAAATTACTATACTATAAACTTTCAACCGGGCAGAATCAGTCGTTATTGGATAATTGAAAAGCAATGCCTGACAGTTTGGTTTTCGAACCTAAAACTTTGATTTTGAATAACATGGAACTATCCTTTTTGAAATTATACAACGCATGTATATTCTTATTTACAAATAGTTTCACTAGCATGGATGGTTTTTGTGAACAAAATTGTCATCATAACTTATGAGTTTCAATGAATCTGAAGATCATTTCAAAAACAACTAGTGTAATTTTTACTATTAAAAACCACATTTAAAACATCCTGGTCAAGCATAGTTTAAAATGATATTTATCTATAAACAAATATTTGTCATGAACATTTATGATGTAGTCTTCCCTTTTGGGATAATAATACTGCTGTTATATCGAAATGTGCTATATAGTTTTTTTTCTCTATAATTTTGTAATTCAAAATAAGCGAAGGCTCCTAGTTCCTCGGGCACATTTTCTTTAGATTATTTTGGCTGTTGGTTTGATGCTCCTTTTAAAAAAATAGCTCCTCACATTTTAAGTACATATAAATCATTGGTTTTAAATACAATATGGATTGAGCGTTGCAAAAAAGGCAAATCCTCAAAATCTGACATGATATTTTGTGTTCCAACTGGAAACGCTCGGACGCATGATATTCAAAGTGTGTTACTTTTATTTTGTTTTATTTTTTGACAAATAAAAATTGAATAACAAGAAGATTGGTCATTTTTTCATTGGAATTTTAACTCATAATGTTTCAACTTGAAAACTGAGTTCATTGGTACAGGTACATGAACATGAATTAAAATCACATTTAGAATAATATAAGTTCATGTATTTTTTGTAATAAAACAGTCCCCTAGAAAAACAATGTATTACTGTGCATTTAATCGATTATACACGATGTGACAGTATGCATGTTTTGTCGTTTAAATCAAATCCTATTTATTACAAAATATGATGCAGGATCAGATAATTTAGAGTTCTGGCTTTTGGTTAAGACGCTAGTCTGTTGTTTAATGTGGTAAACTGAAGAAATAGCTTTGTACGTGTTTATGTTCTAGTGTCAGTATGCATACCGACGTATATATCACATTCATTGTTATTGACTTACCTGCCTACAAATACATTCCGCTGTTTTGCTTATATTCAATTATATGAATTGCACAGACACAAATTTGTAAACGGTAACATCCAATCTAAAACAAGCAATATAGAGTACCAAATTACTGCATTTAAAAACACTTGCGGTAACACTTCTGTAATTAATATAGATAAAAAGATGGGATATGAGTACCAATGAGATAACTCTCCATCAAAATCACAATGTATAGATAAGTGAATGTTTGCCTTAACCATGAAGTCTTTGTCGTTTTGAAAGCAGCCAAACGTGTCTGTTTCTTTTCATCGTCCACTCACATGTTCTATCATACTTATTTTTTCAATTTTTTTTTTAAATATATATTTGCATGTGATAGTTTTCACTTGGGGAGAATTAACCAACAATCAATAACTATTTTGTTTATATTCTACAGGGCCCTGTTTGAACCAGGATGTTCAACTGCCTTAAATATAACTTCAACAAAAGTGGAACTAACATGGGATGAACCAGGTGTAGGTGCTGGTTTTATGGACTTTTATAAGATAATGTGTGAAGAAAAACGCATCTGTGTAACATGTTTCTTTGAAACTCCTAGCAATTTTAGCAAGTATATCGTAGAAGGATTAAAGCCCAACACTGAGTATGCATTTAAAATTCAAAGAGTCAAGAACGGTCAAAATAAAGGTCCCATCAGTAAAACCTTTGCAGTATCAACATCGGAAATTTCTTTTGATAGAATGGCCGAGTCATTATATGTTTTGTTTTATATTGTAGTGTTAATATGGTTTACATACTTATTTTGTTATACTTTGACAATTACATAAATGATAAGAGCGATCATGAAAACATCCATTATTATTCGCGAGAACTTAAAAGATGATAAAATCATCATATATTGTATTGAATAAAAAAATCGAATGCATGAATGTTGATTGCAATTTCACAGTTGTAAAACAGTGAGTAAATATAAATTCATTTTTTTTTTCAATGGACGATAAACGAGACTTTTTCCTTCCACATAATGTAACAAGTTGTTCAAATTATTATATAGAAAAATACACTTTAATAACAAAATAAACAGATTAAATCATCATTTGTTTGACGACACATTGATATATATGTCACCATGTAGAAGAACGGCGAAAGGGACATTCAAACTCATAAGTGGAAAATAAATTGTCAATGCCATGTTAAAACAAGAAAAGACCAAAAGACAAACAACAGTATACACAATACATCATAGAAAACTGCAGACTGAGCAACACAAACCCTACCATAAACGGGGGTGATCTGAGGTGATCCGGAAGGGTAAGCAGATCCAGCTCCAAATTTACCGTTATGGAATATCTGTTTCACAGATGACAACGGTTATTTTTAAAATATCGTACCCACATCTCCGTTCTCTTTTTCCCGAATGTGTCCTATCGAATAAGACTTTTCAACGGATTTGTACTTATAGTCATAGTCATTTTGGAAACTACTTATTTATTCTTTATATCAATTTTGAAAAAAATTATATCAAATAAAATGTTAAACAATTTGTGTGTAATTTCGCATTTTTTTTATATTTATTCCCACTTTTATCTTACTGCACTTAATTGGTATTGTGCATGCCCCCACGTATATCTCGTAGTCTGTGTCATTGGCTTTATAATGAATGCATTGAATGAATGCCAAATATTCACAAAATATTTTGTTTTTAAATTCTTAGAAGTGGTTTAATCAAATCTTGGTGTAACGTGTTTAGTTTATTTTGTCCTTTACTCCTGAGTATTTTGGAAACTTGAATGAATGTGCATATGTTTTATGATATTAGGCGTACAAAACATGAAATATCGATACGTTTTTGTTGTTCTTTTTTATACAGTAAAAGGTGGCTTCCGAATTATAGTGATAATATATTTGTAACTAGCAGTGTCAATTAGATGTGGATGCAGCATTGCTAACAGATTCTAAACATCTAGTGCAAAATGTTCAATCTTAGTTCAATCTTAATTGAAAACGGCATGCAAAGTTTTTTTTTAACTTTGAGAAATCAGATTTCAGTGATTGCTACTATCTCAAATATCCCATTGAACCTGGTATTAAGGTTATAGCCGAAGGTAGAAGTTCTGATTCATATCTTGATTTTTCTTCGATATCTACACAGATGGACGACGTCAAACTAAGACAAAGGTGATAATTCCCACTTTCCAATAGTATAATTTCTATTTCCTAGCTGTAACATACCATCTGTCCAATCGTTTGGCGTTTACATATCTAAGTTAAACCGTTACGCACATGCATGTTCACACTATACAGGTTTAATCAGTTGGGATATGATTCTTACACAAAAAATAGAGGAATGAGGAACTATAATACTCAGACATGAATTTGTATATAGCTATGAACATATGAATTAAGGTCTTCGATTTATTAACTGGTTTAGAATGGTCGAGTTATTATTCGCGAGAACTTAAAAGATGATAAAAACATCATATTATGTATTGAATAAAAAAAATCGAATGCATGAATGTTGATCCAACAAAGTTATAAGGAGGACAATTTAAAAATGACACTCCGTAAATTTTACGGACACCATCACGAATCGGTTGTTCCATACGATGTGTCTATGTCCAAACTAACTAAGGACATGTTTACCACGTGTTAGATTGTAGTTTGACATTACGTCGTCTGATCTGTTAATATCCGAACGTGACTTATTCCCGATTGTGACTGTTTTGATAAGTGTGAATTCGCATTGCTATAAGACGTGTCACGGTACTTTTCTATCCAAAATTCATGTATTTATTTTTGATGTTATATTTGTTATTCTCATCGGATTTTGTCAAATGACTTATCGTTTGTAGTTGTAAATCTCATTTTTTTTTCTGTTGTATTCGTGTGTTATGGTAAAGATAATTTATCACCCAGTTCATTTATTAAATTTTAGTTTGGGTCAACTAAATTTATACGATATATTTGGTTTACAGTTTGATTTAGAAGAAACACCGACATAGCTAGATAATACAATTAATTATCTAATTACTACCACAATTTTATATTAATTAGTATTGTAATTTTCATTGTTATTAATAAATGTTATATGAGTTTTACAAACCGAATCTTGAATTATATCCTAATTCTATCCTATGTTGGGGAAATATTTAGAAATTCAAATGTGACGTCACGTTGTGCTTTGATCTCTTTGGCTAACTCGGCTGTGAATTTTTATGTGCTGGTTTATGTTGTTTTATGTATCCGTTTTGATCTGTATTTAGTCTTGTGTGGACGAAACCCGCGTCTTGCGTACTAAATTTTAAACCTAGTACCTTGTGTTAGCCATTATTCGTATGTTTCTCTGTCCTATATGTTCTCCCATTTATTTGTATTGTAGTCCTGTCATGTAATGTTGTCATTTTAATGTTATATTTAACTTTGCCATAAAAGCGGGAGGTTTGGCTAGCCACAAAACCAGGTTCAACCCACCATTTTTTTCTTACAATGTCCTGTACCAAGTCAGGAAAATGGCCATTGTTATATTATAGTTCGTTTCTGTGTGTGTTACATTTTAATGTCGTGTTTCTGTTATGTCGTAGTTCTCCTCTTATATTTGATGTGTTTCCCTCAGTTTGAGTTTGTAACCCGGATTTGTTTTTTTTTTCTCAATCGTTTTATGAATTTCGAACATCGGTATACTACTGTTGCTTTTATTTATCACCACCGGACCGGAATCTCTGCTAGTGGACAATCTGTCCCCGAGGATTCTACCAGTCCCGTAGCCTAACAGCATGACAACTAGTAGAATAAAAAATATTATACTGGATGACACGCCGCCCAGGATAAAAAGGTGTCAATCGGATGTTGTCAAGGACACAACAACACCGGTTTTATCAGGTGTCCCCAGGATCATCTTAAATGATGTAATGAAAATGACACATGTGCAGTCTTCTGAATCCTCATTGTACTATAAAAAGTCAGACAAGTTTGTTTATATTCGGCCCTGTACTGTTCAACTTTCAGATATTTTAGATTTCAATGACCACCACCAATATTGCTCTATTTCCAAATGTAACCGTAAAAAATGTAAAACCTGTGATATACTAATATCTGATACCAACTTTCAAAGTAATTTTACCACCAAAAGTTACAATACACACAATCATGAGGTATTGAATTGCACTGCTTCCAATATTGTGTACGGTATTGAATGTACTCTTTGTGGATTGATCTACGTCAGGGAAACTCGACAAAGACTCAATTTTAGAATGAATGATCATCGGTCTAATGTAAATGATCCTAATAACAACAAATTTATCCATCAACATTTCAATCAGCCTGACCATTCTATTGTTTCAATGAAAGTCCGGATTATAGAGAAAATATATCATTCAACAAATGACCCCATATTGAGTACACCATATCGTTTAAGACTTTTGGATAAGAGAGTTGGGAACAGCCATTCCCTATGGATGCAATGACAAAATTGATGGTGTAGGTATTTTGTCTAGTCCCAGGTGTAGTACTGTCAATACATTACAATTATTTAATACTTCTGCTCGACGAAATAGAAGTCATGGTCACAGAAAATATATACCACCTGCTGTGCACACCGTGACAATTGATAGTCTATTAACGTCTGTTCAATAACCTTTAGGAATTCATCATATCAGAACTAAATTATACTCCATTCCATTGTCACATCTTTTTTTACTATTTCAAGAGGCCCAAAATACTTCCGTTACTGATTCTCGTTCTGTTTTGTATAGATTAGTTGCAATAATCATGGACATTGCTAACCATAGACTATTCAAACCCGTATCGACTACATCCAAAAATGAGGAAAAACGTAATTTTTTTTAAGGTAGAATTCGCCAATAAAGGATTAGATGCTGTAAATATTAGCAATATTTTCCACCAGAAATCTGTACAAAAAACTATACCTGATTACTTCAAAAATAAAGCTACACCTGTTATTTCTTATGCTTACACCAAGTCTATTGCATCCAAGACTTTCAACCACAAGAGGGTTTTAGAGGTCTTTAACCTCAAAGATGTGAAATCCAAGCCTCCGGATTGCTCATATGCATCGTCGCAATACAATTATAGTCCAGCTGGTCATGTTATTACTGGCGACCTTGGCATCGTTACCAATGAACAACTAAGAGAGTGGTTAGCCAAGGGACCACAACATAGAATTCCCCAGCCCATCAACTGGAAAAAGAACTTCAGGTTACTGATGGATGCAGTTGAGGACTATGCAAGAAAATGGGTAAAGCGCGAACCAGACGAATCAGAACTTGACACTTCGTCTAAATGGATCAAAGCTATTCGATTATGCATTCAGACGCGCATTCAAAAACTACGATGTACTATGAGCACAAGAGTTACTAACCCTTTCAGGAATCCGGATGTTGTGGATGCTTTATCCTCTTTGCATGACAAATATGTCGTTGTTCCAGCAGAAAAAGCCTCCAATAATATTGTCTTCATATGTAAAAACAATTATTTGCAATGTCTCACAACAGAGCTTGGAATAAATAGAACTACTGGTAATCCTACATATTCTTTAACATCATTTACCAAGGACGAAATTTTACAAAATCACAAATCTGTCCTTCTTTCTTTTGCTATCAACATCAAAGAAAACGAAACAAAATTTACCATCATTATACTGGATACCAAAACTTCACAAAACTCCATATAAAGAACGATACATAGCTGGATCATCAAAATGTTCGACTAAACATCTTTCTAAAGTACTGACTACTATTCTTTCTACAGTTAAAGATGGGCTTCAAACATATTGTGATGAGATATATTCTACCAGTGGTGTTAACCAGATGTGGATTCTCAAAAATTCGAAAGATCTACTGCTTAATCTTCGATCACAATCTCTGCAATTTTGCAGCAACATAAAGACTTTTGATTTTTCTACGCTTTACACTACTATTCCCCATGCTCAGTTGAAAGATCGACTTCACCATCTCATTAAACAGAGCGTTTTCTATAAAAATGGGAATCGTAGATACAAATTTCTTGTTTTGGGTTACAATAATTCATATTTTGTGAAGAACCACACTGAATCTACCAGAAAATATACTGAAGATGATAGTATCAAAATGCTAGACTTTTTGATCGACAATATATTTGTTGAGTTTGGAGGATTTATATTTCAACAGACAGTCGGTATTTCAATGGGTACTAAT